GTCCGTTGGGCCCCAGGCAGCGGCGGCGGCGGCGGCGGCGGCGGTCGGGGCGAACCGCTCTCGTCGCCTCCTCCCCCCGGCTCCGCGGAGGGGGGAGGAGGAAGATGGAGACCCACATCTCGTGCTTGTTCCCCGAGCTGCTGGCCATGATCTTCGGCTACCTGGACGTCCGGGACAAGGGGCGCGCGGCGCAGGTGTGCACGGCCTGGCGGGACGCCGCCTACCACAAGTCGGTGTGGCGGGGGGTGGAGGCCAAGCTGCACCTGCGCCGGGCCAACCCGTCGCTGTTCCCCAGCCTGCAGGCCCGGGGCATCCGCCGGGTGCAGATCCTGAGCCTCCGCCGCAGCCTCAGCTACGTGATCCAGGGCATGGCCAACATCGAGAGCCTCAACCTGAGTGGCTGCTACAACCTCACCGACAACGGACTGGGCCACGCGTTTGTGCAGGAGATCAGCTCCCTGCGCGCCCTGAACCTGAGCCTCTGCAAGCAGATCACCGACAGCAGCCTGGGCCGCATCGCCCAGTACCTCAAGGGCCTGGAGGTGCTGGAGCTGGGGGGCTGCAGCAACATCACCAACACCGGCCTGCTGCTCATCGCCTGGGGCCTGCAGCGCCTCAAGAGCCTTAATCTTCGCAGCTGCCGCCACCTCTCGGATGTGGGCATCGGGCACCTGGCCGGCATGACGCGCAGCGCGGCGGAGGGCTGCCTGGGCCTGGAGCAGCTCACGCTGCAGGACTGCCAGAAGCTCACGGATCTCTCTCTCAAGCACATCTCCCGGGGTCTGACGGGCCTGAGGCTCCTCAACCTCAGCTTCTGCGGAGGAATCTCCGACGCAGGCCTCCTGCACCTGTCGCACATGGGCAGCCTTCGCAGCCTTAACCTGCGCTCCTGTGACAACATCAGTGACACGGGCATCATGCATCTGGCCATGGGCAGCCTGCGCCTCTCGGGACTGGATGTGTCCTTCTGTGACAAGGTGGGGGACCAGAGTCTGGCTTACATAGCGCAGGGGCTGGACGGCCTCAAGTCACTCTCCCTCTGCTCCTGCCATATCAGCGATGATGGCATCAACCGCATGGTGCGGCAGATGCACGGGCTGCGCACGCTCAACATAGGGCAGTGTGTGCGCATCACCGACAAGGGCCTGGAGCTGATTGCTGAGCACCTGAGCCAGCTCACTGGCATAGACCTGTATGGCTGTACCCGAATCACCAAGCGCGGCCTGGAGCGCATCACACAGCTGCCCTGCCTCAAGGTACTCAACCTGGGACTCTGGCAGATGACGGACAGTGAGAAGGTCAGGTGAGGGTGGCAGCATCAACTCCCCTTGTCCCGCCCTCTTCATCATCCTGTCACCACCACCCTCCCTGCACTCTCAACTCCACATGCACACTTATTCGTAGATCATTGCAGTGGATGAGATGGGACAGTGACACGAAGCCTCAGGCTCATTTTCTCCTCCCTCCTCCAGCATCCCCGCCTGCTTACATGCCCATTCATTGCTTTTGGGGGTTCCTCTGCTACCCCTACCGTACTCCCCTCTCTTTTTCCCTGAGGATGAAGAGAGGACTCAGCTACTTACCTATCCACTTCTCTCTACTGGGGAATGGAGGGGCCGATTGAGCTACTGTATCCCCACTGCGCTGCATTTCAAAATGGGGGTGGGGGTGGGGAGTAACTAGTCCTTTGACCCTGGGGAGTTGAAGAAAATGTCTGCCTTCACTTAAGCTTTCATTTGAATACTGTGATCTGGTTTTTATTTTGAAATGTATGAAATCAAACCCAACTACAACGGCCTTTTCACCCTTCTTCCACTTTGTAGCTAATCCCAGTCTCTTCTCATCATTTCTCTTTTTACAGTACTCTGCTATTCATGCTCATTTCATTTTTTTATTGTCCTTTCTTTTCTTTTTTTAAGAGATTTGAAATCATGGTCCTTTTTTTCTGCTGAATATATTCTATATATTATATATATATAAATTTTATATATATATATGTCTGGCTACCTCGTTTTAGTTTACTTTTTTCTCTGAAGCCCTGGAATTCTACAAGAGAGATATTTTGAGACTAAAACATTTTTGTGCCTAGACTGGAAAGATGCCCATTGCGTTTGTGTCTTTTTTGTTTTGGCTTCTTCCCCACCCCATCCATTCAGTATGTCCCACTTCCACATTTTGGCTATAATTATTTTTCTCTTTGTCCATTGGGATTTGAGAGCCCAACGACGTTCCTAAATCTTGACTTAATTTATAGCACAAATGTGTGGGAGAAATGAGAGTTTGGACTGTTTTGTTTGTTTGAGATGCAGATTGTCTTGAAAATTATTATTATATATGCAAATTCTGCCCTACCCTCACCCTCTTCCAAGTTTCCTCACAAAAAAAGGTCATACAGTGAGGCTTCCTGTTGGAAGCAGAGGAGCAGAGTTGGCCTGCAGAGCCCCTGGGGCTATAATGTGAAGGGGAGGAGACTGAAATTCATGTCTTATCTCTGTTCTGTTAATAAAATGGGAGTTTATGGGTTTTAAAAATTCTGTTTCTAAATGGAGGAGTAGATGACTTTATTTTGGTGGGGGTTGGGACTTGTGGCTTTAAAAAAAATCGCTTTTCAGTAGGATGTATATTTTTGTTGGATTTTTTTGTTTGTTTTTTTTAGAATCCTCCACAGCAACATTCGAGACCATGGAGTTAAAAGAAACCCAGAGACCTTTATCAATTAATTGTACTGTTTGTGAATTTGTATAAATAATAACAAAGATCCTCTTAAAACGTTTATATTCTTACAGTAAAAGGTTAAACTGATATTTATATAATAAAAGAGGAAATATGAAGTATGTTTTTGAAAAAAAAAACACACAAAAAAAACCCCTTGTATCTGTGAATTATTTTGAAGGCAGTGTGTTTGGGTACATGCCAAAGTCAGAGGTGCTGTTTGTGTGCTTTCAAGTAAAAGGAAATAAGACATAGACTTCGGTGTGTCCTATGTGCTATGAGTAAGCTCATGGTTAAAAATGTATCTGTATAAGGTTTACTACTGACATCTAAATGTTTTGTTTTTAGAAATATGGTGAGATTGGAGATTTATATAATTTGGTTTTCAACTGTCAACAAAATGGAAATTTACAGAAACTGAACAAAATGAAACTTTTTTAAAAACCAGATTTGTAAGAGTCACAGTTTCCTCAGAGTAGCCAATTTTTCTTTGGGTGGAAATTACATCTAGGGGTGATGTTCAAAAAACAGGTCGTGAGATATGGAAGTGGGGAAGAAAGATGGGTTTCTTTACACTTTGAGTGGGTGTGGGGAGGATGTGAAATGGTGAAGGCTGAAGGGAACTGAAGCCATTGTTCAGAAAAGTTAAAAGAGGGCTGTCCCTGCTTCCTTGCTCGCTGGCTCAGTCATGCATACTGAATCTCTCAGTGTGAGTGAGGGTCCTAGGGAGAGGAGGAGGGCAGTTCCACCCCTCTTTTTAACATTCTCCTCCAGGCCTGCTGTATTTGAGCACTTTGCTGGGGGATGGGGAGGTTGGCCAGGAGTTCCTGCACATTTGCATTTTAAGCACTTCCAACGCTGAGGGTGAGGGTTCTTAAGACTGTATTTAGGGGCAGATAAATGAAAACCAACAATTTTAGCAAAGCATTCCCTTTGATAGACAATAACTAAATAATCTGACATTCTGTGGTTGGACTTTGGAGATGGAAGAGTATAAATGCTGCTCAAACAGCGAAGTAATTTATATTCCTGGTTCACATAGATCTTTCATAGTTGTTTCTGAAAAATTTTTTTAAACAAAAAGTACCGATCCCAGCAACAGCTGATAAGAGTGGTATAAAACTTTCCTGGATAAGCACCTCTTTCCAGGAAGAGAGCTAGAACCCGGTTTCTCTTGGATAAGATTGCTTTGTACAATGTCCAAGCCTTCTGCTTGAGCATATCACAAAAGCTGCATTGTTCCTTTTTGAAGAGCCTTCATAATTGGGTCTAATTGAGCCTGACACTAAATCCATCTTCCTTTTCTTTGGGGAAGGTGTGGCTCTCTCCCCTTTTAGGTTACAGTACTTACTGCCTGCAAGGGGGTGCAGGGGGAGTGTGAACCCTAGTCAGAAGTAGGGATTTTGAGTTAGGGTCAGTTTTCTAATTTAGCATTTGACACTACTATACATGAAGGTCACATAAACTGTAGGTTCTTCGACTGTTTTTCTTTTTCCAAGAGACTGCATGGCTGTACAGATTGTCAATAAAAATGTGGGCACCTCCTAAGTCCTAGGCTCTGTGCTCACAGTCTTCATTTTTAAAAAAATATATTTTATTGATTTTTTACAGAGAGGAAGGGAGAGAGATAGAGTTAGAAACATCGATGAGAGAAACATCGGATCAGCTGCCTCCTGCACACTTCCTACTGGGGATGTGCCCGCAACCAAGGCACATGCCCTTGACCGGAATCGAACCCGGGACTCTTCAGTCCACAGGCTGACACTCTATCCACTGAGCCAAACCGGTTACGGCCACAGTCTTTATTTTAATACCCCAAATAATCCTACCAACTGTAACTGGAAGGGTTTTATGCTTCTCTGTTTTGTTTGGTTTTTACTCTAAAGGTTAAATACAAGCTTGACAAAAGGTTGGTAAATTAATATTTGAAAGTTAAAGATCCTGAGCCTAGTGTCCTCATCCTGAACTAGGCATACTTAATATATCTGCAGTGTCTCTGGGAAAGATGAATAAACCACTTTCATCAGTCAAGGTTAACTTATCTCTCAACCTTTTTGGATAGGAGAAAAGGAATAAGTATTGAGAACCTGTAGTGTACTTTGCATGGTACTTCTCCTTTTAGTCCTCAAAGCAACCTGCTGAAAGAGTTACGCTTTTCCAATGAAGTATACTATTTCCCTTAAGTTACCCCACTACTGGTTGAGGGGAGCCAGAACTCAAACCAGGTCCATTTCTGAAGTCCAGCTCCCTTCTGCTCTATGAGGAGATTTAGTTATTATCATACCTTGGTTCCCAGTAAGGAAACCTCACAGGAGTGGAAGCTATTTAAGTAGTGTCGACATGCTTATGCTGCAGGACATAGGGGGTTCAATCTCCACCATACCTACAAGCATGGAACATGCTTTTAAAGAATAGATGCACTAAAGAAAATGAGTTGATACATATTTTGTGGGTGGTACAAAAGTTAAAAGTCAAGGGTAATTTTAAGAATAACAGAAAAAACCTGGTTCAGGTATTTGCTAAAATTTCAGAACTGAAAAACCAAAGTAGGAAGTCTGTAAACTTTATCATCTCAAATTAATAAACCTCAAGAAAAACTCTTTGGGTAGTAGTTAAGACAGGGTTCCACATACCTTTCTTTTCTAAGTCTTATCGGGCAGTAGCCCTGTAAGGTCTGTATTGAAAAGATTATTTATAAATGTAACTGTGGGGTTCAGACAGTTTCTCAGCCCCTAAGGACCATGGTGGGCCTCTAGCTAAGAGAGCTGGGCGTGTTACATAATTCTCTCAGCTATGGACTCCTTCCTGCTGAATTCCTCAGTCCTAAGGCGGGGGAGGGCCCACTTGATTGATTCCACATTTGCTAACAGGGACAAGGATGCTTGCCTAACTTACAGTACATCCTTAAATAGTTAAGGAAACTGAAACTGTTCATATTCTTTCATGATTTAAATCAACAACAAGGACCTGAAGAAGCAAATGTTCCTGTTAATGGAGTTTCTTTATAAAGGTAAGAACTGTCTTCAATAAGGACACATGATATATAAATTGAGACTGGCTTTTCCCCAAATCCTGCTGCTTCCTGCAGTGGTTACCAGGTAGATGCTGGTCTTGGGATGGAAAACCTTTCACTTGGGCTTAGAGAATTCGAGCCCAGGTTATCAAAGGGGTAAGGGTAGGGGCCTCCAGGGACCACTGTTTCCCAAGTGTAAGAGTCTTTTGAGTAAAACATCAGATTAGTGAAACAAAACCAAGACCTCATGTAGCTTCTGACAACCAGCTTTTCCCAGTCCCTGAGAGCCCCTGGCTGCTCTGCTGTGCACGGGGGCTATAGAAAGCCATCTAGGAGTTGTCCCCTCTGTTGTCTTTTCTCTTCCCTGCAGCAAACACTGCTCCCTTTTAAATGTTAATTATATCCCTTTACTAGAGGGCAAGACCTAAATTTTGTGCCACTGTGAACCCCTGAGGAGTCAGGGGTAAGGCTTTTTATTATTAATGTGTATCATGTGTAAAGCACAGGATTTGAAATTGGGAAAAAAAATTGGGGGGAAAAAAGGCTACAAACTTAAGCTGATGCTTAGACCACACATTTATCTCACTTTCATCCACGTATGTATTCAAATATTAGGTAGCAAATCTTTTGAAAACTGAATGTTGTGAAACATGAAACATTCATACTTGGATCAGTGCCAACTATTAATAATTTAGACCTTATCAAAGGTAAGTGCACACTCAGACTAAGACCATATGTTACTCTCAGTCTTGGGTAAAAAAGGGGTATTTCTAGACAACTGGCAAGTTTAAATGTCCACAGATGATCAGTTTCAGTCTTTTTCTCTTTTCCAAGGATTGCTCTGATTTCACCTGGGGGTGGTGCCTATACCCACCCAGCACATTGGGTGCGAGGTAAAGCCAAGTCTTCTAGTCCAGGTGCATGAGAAAGTAAGCTTGAGGTCTCAACTGCGCAGCACCAGAGCTGGGGTATGTTTAGCATCCCCTCAAATAAAAGCGAGTAGAAGTGGGATTCCCCTGCCTGCTGTTTGTTAACCCAAAAAAGTACTTTTTTTTTTTTTTAAGGCAAGCTTTTATTATTGCATTACTTTTGCACTTGAATTGTTTGAAAGACAAATGCTACATATTCTTGTAAGTTTGCTTTTATTTGTGATAGTGGAAAACAGTCTCAATTACAAAGAAGAGAAGAATGAGATCTCCAGTAGCAGGAAAGAAACCCAGGTGAGACTGTTAGGGATGTGAATGTGGTCTGCTGGAAGAATTTAGTCATAACACTAAATTCTCTGTCTCAAAGTTTCTGTTTTCCCAAATCTGGCAGGGATTGTACGTTTAATTTCATAAATGGGGAAAGAGGCTTGGCAAGGGTGAAAAGATCGTGCCTAGGTGATATGAAGAGTCAATATCAGAACCAGGGCTGCTCCAGGCTTTAATGACCACATGCAAGAGTGATCGACATGCAGGTAGCTCTTTGATCTTTCCCTGAGACATTGCAAAGCGCTGTCCTGATCCCTTGCTTCAGAAAAATGGTGAACCAGAGCATATTTTCTTTGGGAGTAAAAAAAAAAAAAAAAAAACCAAATGCTGGAGGTTACTACTATTAAATTATGCAAACACAGATATACATGATTTGCAAGCATTATATATAGGGCTATTCAAGAAGCCAAAACTAGTACAAGTTGGTAAATGGGCTATAGGGTATCCAAGTAGCTAGTAGTGTCAGATCTGTCACCTGTTATCCTCAGAGGTCTTGAACCAGTTTCTAAAACACTGCTTTGTGACAAACAGTAATGTGATGTACAAACACTGGAAGTCTGGGTTTGTAATAGCCTCAAAGCTAAGAACTTCCACACGTTTAAGACATTTACAAGTGTATGTCATGCAATCCTTTTATAAAGTAGAATTGAGTGTGGGAACACTATTTTCATGCAAGGATAAAAGGGCTTGACTTCACAGATGTTTTAGTTACAAATCCCTCTTGTCTAGTAAGAGTAAAAGGGTCTAATTTGTTAATATTGGGCAGCCTCTTATGTTTATTACTCCTCAATTTATGTAATCCACACTCCAGAAGGATCAGGTCTAGCACACAGCTGTCTGTCAATAATCATCATGGATCCAAGTTAATGGAATTAGACCGTGGGAAAATAGATCTTTGAGACTAGATTAATTTTTTTAATAAATAGTGTGGAATTACTCAATATGGCTTGGAAATCATTGTTTTCCTCATACAAAAAGGGTATGAAAATGTTTACCACAAACATCCATAATATTTATCTTTAGGAAATCTTTACCTCAGGAATAGCTGCCTCCTGCTTCCAGTTTGTTTTTTGAGAAGTGCTCTCTAAATGGGGGCTGGGGAGGAGGGCGAGTCCTGACATTCCTAAGAATCTAGTAAAATCACCGAGGCTAAATTTAGACAGATGGGTAAAATAAGAACAGGATTACAATAGTTAAACCCCTCAGATTTTTAATGTTCTTAGATGCCTTCAGTATTTTAAACCTTAGCTTCATAGCTCAAAAGCCCACTTTTGTGAACTACCCCCCCCCAAAAAAGGACTAGCAAACAATATGAAAATGACAAAATTAAAGTGACAATTTCCAATTCTTCTAGTTCATTTCAAGCGCACAAATTTAAACTGTTTTAGGAATCTGTAAAAACAGTACAGCCAGGTTCTGTGGTCTCCTGAGTTTCATGAAGCTTGTAGGAGGCCTTCACATTTTCTGAGCCTGGAAGAGATGACTGGTTCTCCCAACTCTAGCTGGTGTCTGCACTTGAGCTCAGAGTCAAAAGGCGACAATCAGAACAGCGTAACCCAAAGGAAGGCAGCTGGCCTTTTTTCCATACATGCAGGTCTCATTCTCAGTGCAATCACAAGAAGAACTGCAGAAATTCACCACCGTAAGCCTGAACAGGGTTTCAGCACACAGCCTCATCACTGCTTACTTTAGAAATAAAAATGTGTACATGCAAGTTAGGATATAGAGGTCAAGCACTACACTTTATTGAGAGGCAGGGGTGGGAAATCATTTTTGTCTCCTGGATTGTTCCTTGACCTCTCCCATCGCCCCCCAAAACCAAAAAACGCCTCCCACCCGCTCACACAATTCACCCTCCCACTGTGATGCAGCTATGAATTGTGCCCACATCAGTGTTAGGAGCTGGAAGTCCCACCTTGTATTTTTCTTTACCTCAAGGTTATTAAGACAATTTTAGGGTCCACTATGAGGAAGAAAATGTACAGTTAATGCAAAACTAAATGTTTGTTTCTCAATGTGGAAGATGGAAAGTGAAAAAATGAAATTTATTTATCCACAAAGTCTGCAAATCCTGTGTTTTGTCAGCAGGCGGCAGCATTGCCTGTGAGTTGGCTATTTCCAGTGGGGCGCTACAGCCTCCCTCTGACTACTGCCCGCTGGCCACCTTCGGTCCCCTGCCGCACACCCCAAAAAGAATTTCCCCAGGTGTAAGACTTAACAGAAGGGAATTTCATGTCGCCAAAAAGATGAAATGGAATTTTAAGACATCAGTGAAACTACTCAAAGGAACCTAGGTGCTGAGCACTTTGTTTTTTGGAGCAAGTTAACAGATGCAGCCCCCTCATAAAGGTTCTGGGTTTAGCCAGCAGCTCTCTGCTTTGGGTAGCCATGGGAATGAGACATCAGCTCCTTTTTCTTAAAGACCATCTCATTCAAATCCTGTTAGATTGTCATATTTGGGAAGTATGAGGGAACAAATGGGGAAAATTTTTAGTCATACGTGAAGATACCAATTTTAATAGCAAGAGCAAAAGTGCTAGTTTATTACAAAAAATAGAAAGTGTATTCTCTGTGATGAAAAATTCTAAAGATCTTTTGAGGAAAAACAAAAATATTTTAAAAATTTTAGGAGTATCTATTTTTTATTATTAAAATTAGTATCTTTATTTGCCCAGATGAAACAACTTTATAAAATCTAAGAGTATCTATGAAACTGAAAATGATTAAGGGCCCTGATAAAGAAGTAAGTTTGCTCACTTTAAAGTCCTCCTATGGAACATAGACCTTAGGAAAAGGTAGCAGAAATTAAAGAGAAAAACTTCTGAGCCAACTTGGCCAGATTCCATAAAATACACAATGAGGGAAGAAAGGCCTTTGGGCTCTTACCCTCTTGCAACTCAGTAGCCTAGCCTCAGGGAATCAAAGCATGAACCCAAAGGGCATTTGGGGCAAATATGGAATAAAAATGTGGAAGGTGGAAGACGGAAATCCCCTGTGGCAACTCCTACCAAGCTGTATTAGCTGGATGAGGCACAGCTCATTAGCTCCGTGATACAAAGATCAGTTCTGGTTAGAGAAGAAGAGAGGAAGGATGTTTCTGGAACTCAGGGCCCAGACATGAAGCAGATTGCCATTCCTGGCACCATCCATGAAGGTCTTACAAAAGCAGACAAGCCCCTGGGTGCTTTATAAGTCCCTGGGTGAACCCTGCCATTGTTAGTGACCATACCAAATGAATACAGATTTGGGGAAAACAACCCCAATAAAGAAAAGAGGAGGTAGAGGAATGAAAAAGAGACCATGTATCTATCATTCCACATGAAGCAGAGGAGGAGGAAGCACAGGACAGGTGAGGAGCCAGGAGGATAAAGACACAGTACATGAAATTAAGTGAGGGAGAGTGGGGACCAGGAACCACCAGCCATGCCTAAAAGTGATCCTCAGGGTGAACTGGGAGGGCTGCTCTTCGATTTGCAGTCTCAAGATCAGCTCGCCTGGGCATGCACATGTTTCAAGAAGACAGGCTCTCTTTCTTTCGTTGTCTGAATCTGACTCGAGACACAAATTTCGACCAATAGGCCGCCAGGCTGGCCAGAGGTGAACCTGTGATGAGGGAATGGGTGGGGGATGATGGCAGCACAGACCGAAACGTCCTGCTCAGACCCTGCACCCGCCTCAGCCACTGGTGTGCCAATGTGCCCATGGCAGCCAGGATGAACGCTGTGTTTTACCCACTGTCCCGTTTTCACAGGGGACAAGCAAGGACGACAGTGTCTACAGGGAGGAACAGAAAGCAAGTGTTTCCAGGGCAGGCTCTGAGAGATGCCCTCACACAGGCCCTTCAGGCAGCAGTCTGCTCCAGTGACGGACACCACCCACCAACCCCACAACTCAGGCTCCCACACTCCGTCCTGGCCCAGAAGGTATAACTGACGGCTCTTGTCATCCCAAGAAGACAGAGATTCTATTTTAGGTGACATTCCCCAAAGCCTCACCCGAGAGCACAGTCGCAAATCCACACCGCCTGGACGCTTATTTGCAGACTGGGCGGCCACTGCTGCTGTTTTCGTAACCTTCCTCTGTCTTCTCAGTCCCTCCCTCACAAAAACAAAGGTGCCCACACAGGCATCTATTTGCTCTTTAAAGTAACCAGCCACTTCTGGGGTTCTTAATTTCCTATTGCCGTCTGTGGAGAGTGAAGAGGGGCACGGAGAGGGCTGTGGTGGGGGGATTCCAGGTGACATAGACACACATAACCTGTAATGAAGCAAGTCTTACGGCCTCTTACACACCACCAAACAGGACTCATACATTACCTTGCAATCCTCCCTGATTTGGTTGCCTTCCCCTTGATGGCCCAGAGTTTAAGCCGCCTGTGCCCTTCCCAAGCCCCTTAGTTCCCACTCCTGTGTCCATTCGAACTTCGGTACCTGCCGGGAACCTGCAGAGAAACTAAGGCACTTGTGTGCAAGGGGCTACGAATACCTTCCCACCCTTCCACTGGTGCCCAAAGCAAACCTGCTAAGGCTAATCTCCCCCTCACTTGCAGCTCAACAGCTTTTCTCCTTTAAGCCCCTGATAATGGTTTTACTAAAATCCCCTTTTGATGGAAAAAATCCCAGCTGGACATTTCAGGCCTCTGCACAATGTACAAGTCTGCAGGTCTTTCCCTACCTCACAAAGGCCTCTAATCAAGTGGAAAATGTGCTGGAGGCCAGAGGTTTGGGTCTGCAATTATTTTTTAAGGGATTACTAGAGAAGAATGGGGGGCAGCGAGGACCTCCCCCTGCTTTGTTTCCCATGTGGCCCTGCTTTGAGACATACTGAGCCAGCAGTAGCTGCCCAGATCTTCAGCACAAGAGCCTCATCTCTTCCTTCTCTGGTGGAAGGATGTCATCTTTGAACACCATCACTTCAAAAAGATTTAGAGAGTTTGGAAGCAACATGCAGGTCCTATTCTGACTCCATTTAAAGCTCTTTCTTAGAAACCCACTATGGAACAGGATCTCCTGTGTGGGGAGAACACTCATTCATTAACCTCTAACCCTGCTCTGTATGCAGAGGGGAGAGTTCACACCGAGTCCATAAACTGCTAAGATTGAGGGCATTCAGTAAGGCTTCCCAGGCTGTGGAGGGCAAAAGGTCATGTTCCCAATCTTGCCAGATATCCTTCGTCTTATTTGTACACATTGACCCTTCCCCTCAACACTGAGCAAATACCCAGGAAACTCCTAATGTAAAACATGGATTAAAATATAAAATGCCAACCATTTTTATTACCCTATTTGGAATCTTTGTTTAAAAATGTGCACTATGGGAGAGAGTCTCTCTCCTCTGTGTATCATGAAGGACCATCTTTGATGTCATCTATACACGAATGTTCATGAAGGATTAACTGATAAAGATGAACATTTCAGGCTGGCCCTAAGTTCTCATCATTCTCTTTCAGCACACAGACTGCTCATTCTTCTAAATCCACCTGGTTAGTGATGTATGCAAATACCCAGTAAAAAGGAAATGATTACCAATTCCTAAACTCATTCTGGGATGATCAAGGATTAGGCAGTTCAGCTCTGAAAGTTAGAAGTCAACATGTATTTCAAAATAAATACCAGGCTTTCTTCAAAGTCCCTAATATACCTTTGGTCAAAAACAAAACCAAACCAAAAAAACCTACAAAATTCCAAAACACCAACTCTAGTCTGCTTTTATCTGTACGAATACTTCATTGACATATTTTCCTTATTAAGTTTTCAGTTTTCCCCCAGAAGAACCCTACACAATTGAGAACTGGATGGAGAGAAGCACACTTATTACATTTAATATATTACATTTAATACTTAATGCAAATATCATGTTAGTATTTTATTATGTTGACCTTCATACTTCTTTTAGTGGGTGTTATTGGAGGAAGGGACTATATAGTTGCCCCCAAAAAAGCAAGTGAGGGTGGATCCCTGGAGTCCTCTTCCCAAATAATGGCAGAGAGGTTTGCTGAATCACTTCTGCTGTTTATCAAGATGTGGTGACAGCTTTCTCCAGGAGGGAATAAACTTCTTCCTACTTTAGTTGAAGATGTACTTCTTCAGAAAGATGAACTGAAACATTCAAGGGCATCAAAGGACACAGTGGACTGCCTCTACTGGGGCCCGACTTGAGATAAGTCTGCCTTACAGGAGAGTTGCTCCAAGCTTCTCTCCGGACACACTTCCTGAGTCACTGCTCAGCTGCCTATTTACTTATCACCACTATTTTGGGGTTCATCAATATTCTAATACTTCTCTGCCCTTTTTACAAACTATATTGAACAAAATACCATTTGTTTCAGAAGTCATTCTTCCTACCAACAACAATTTAGGAAAGAGTAAAATAGTAATTTGGAAGCAATAATTGAATAGAATAGTGACAACAATGCATCTCAGATTTTTCAGGGCAGTGGGAAATTTTAGTACTTTGGAATGTAAACATCTTTCAGACTCTCATTGGATCATACAGGTTTCTAAAAACCAACTTAAGACCAACTTCCTTCATTTTCTATTCAAAAAACAAGATGAACATATTTAGAATTAAGAAGTATAAAGTATAAAGGGATAATTAAATTATATCTTGAGGTTGAAATGTTATCAGTTTTTAGTTCATTGTGTCCAACTGGCATACCTAAAATAGTTGGGAAATGCCCTTGAGTCCACAAAAAAGATATGCAATATTTTGTCTCCAGATTGCACAAAGTGCGGTCACCTACAGGGAGAAAGGGAGCCTCACTTCTCTGTAGTGCTTTTTCTAGCTCCTCCTTTCATGCTCTTGATAACCAAAGGCTACATCCAACTACTTCTGCTCAAATTGCCTGTGTTGCATCACTGTTTCTGAAATTCTCTCTGTTCACTCATGCACGTACTTGTCTGGGTCCCCTAACTCTCTAGACTGGCAACTCCATGCCTAACACCTGCAGGCTCTCCCAGGAATGGCTGCACTGCAGGGTGCTCTCTGCTTCCCCCGAGCTGCCCTCCAAATCCATCCCCAGTACTCCCAATCTTCCAAACTCACGGAGGCCAGATGAGTGATAACTGTCATTATTGTATTTGATTGGCAATCTCTACACCACAGTTTTTAAATATTTACTAAAATATGCCTGCCTATTTAAGGCTGTTCTTAAAAGTGATACATAAACCCTTATTTCAAAAAATTCTTATTAAAAACAATCATCCAGAATAGAAAGATTTGGATGACAAGGCAAAATTGCCCTTCAGTCCTCATGAAATACCACTTCCTTCCCTTGAGGTGCCTCAGGTGACAGAGTGGGCTGGGTCCATTTGGACCCAACTCCAGCTTTGAGTGGCTAACAGTGGTGACAAATGCCCCAAATGTGGGTCTGGTACAGAATCTTATAATGACTTGTATGGTATCTTGAAATTAAGCATTTGTCAGCGTAAGTTAAGCTCCCAATGGATCTATGGTAATTGGGCAATATTAAAAATATCTCTCCCCAGGTCTCCTGCTTAAGAAATCTCTTCAAGTTCCTCTCTGGGAACCCTGTGAGTTTATCTACATAGTGCTGACAGTCAAGTGGCAGGACTGATAAGCTTGTGCTTGGCTTTATCAGTTATAGAGTTAAAACTACTTTAGGAGCCTATAAAAAGGCTAACAAATAAATATTCCTTTTGACCAACACAATCAACCCTCGTTCACAATCACAAAATCCTGCTGGTTTATTGGGAATAATTGCTAACTAATAGTTAAAATGCTAGAGTTTATGAATGACTTTTTAAAAACTCAAATTAGTGTGGATTCAAGGCTGTCTTTCACTTAGTAAATATTTATTTGGCATCTATTACAGGCTGGAGTCCTGTGCCAGGGCTGCGATACAGAGGGACGTCTCACACTTACTTGTAGAGGTCTGCTTTCTTGAGTGGGAGAGAAAGAAGCAGAGTTTCACTGGGAACTGCTCCCAACCCACAGCCTGATTTATCTGCGCCGCAGCCTGTAATCTAGATATGCCCATGGGAGTGTGTCCCATGTGTGTTTTAGAAAAAAAACAACAACACACACAAGACGAGTTGGGGTGGCTGTTTCACCAAGTTCTCAGTGCAGGAGGGAACCAGCCAGCGGCGGATAAGGAGGCAAAACCGAGGTTTATATAAACACAATACTAATCTCCCTCTCACTTCCCCAGAGGGTGACAGCCCCGCTCCTATTCCAAGCCTGAAGGCTGGCCTCATGGTCTCTCCCCCACCTCCTCCAGGCTGCCCGAGATGTCAATTTCAACCTGATTCCACTGGTACAAAAATACTGAGTGAGGGGCTACACAACCCAATGGCCGGCAGGTCTCCTCCCCCCACCCCCACCCCTACCCCCACCCCCACCCCGAATCACTGAACTGCCAACCTGCCTTTAGCCGGCCAGTCAGCTTAGCCTGTCTGGACTTTATCAGCGTAGCACAAGCTAAAAAGTTTCCAAGGGAGGTCTATCTAGCCAAACCAGGTCCTTGACGTAAATGACTACAGGGATGGGCAAAAGTAGGCTTACAGTTGTGAGTATGTGAAAGTTTATTCTTGTATTATTATTTATTAATTACTGTATTATTTAGTTGTATTCAACTCTAAACCTACTTTTTGCCCATCCCTGTATTCAAATTATTTTCTGCTTCATGTCCAGTAATTTTGTTTTATTAGAAAAAGAGTCTGTGAGGAGAAAAGGAAATATTTAAGGTTTCCTCCTGCTGTTCAAAGCTAGTTAAATGTAAACAGAAAAAACCTGTTGGGCTGCGTATGATTTGTCATGTGTCTTAGCGCTGACACAAACACACACACCGGCAGGCTTCACAGCCAGGGAAGTCCCACCCCAGACAGGACCTTCTCCACCCAAGATCCTGCAAAGGGAGAAAGTCTGTGCCCAACCTGCAGACCACTCTGTAATGATTCCCCAGGACCTAAGCACAGACAGTTCCTCAAAGACGTGGCCACAGAGACGGTGACCCTCATCACTCTTCCTCTAACGTGCACATGAAAACCAGCCCCACACACTCCACTCACTGTCTGCCTCCTGAGAAGCCACCAGGTGCCTTCGTAAGCTCCCACGAATGTCAGCTCCAGACACTGAAACAGAGCATGGACCGGAGCCAACCGCCACTCCAGGGGCAAGGACTCAGTGCGCTGGGGAGGGGGGGGAGCAGGGGGGTGGATCCTACTGGAGCACTGATACACTGGAGGCTGTTGAGCGGCATAATCTTAGTGACCAATGAAGAGGAGGACTTTTTCCTCCAGGGAATTCTGAGAGCACAAGTGGTCAGCATCACTCAAAA